ATGCCACAAAATAAAGAATTGGCATGAAGTACCAAGGATCAGGGGCAAAATAATATATGCTATCCGACAAGTGAAATCTCAGTTGATGGCAGTGAATCGACGAGGTATAGTATGGTTAATTTTTTGTCGATGAGCCTGATCAAGCAGGGCTAATATAAATGGTCTGATATTCTCATTTTGATCCTCAACAACTTCGATCCCCCGATCACTTGACAAATTTTTCACGGCCTGTCCAAATGAGAGAGATGTGGAGAGGTATATATTTACCTTACCACATACTAGATCGTGCAAGGTAAATAACTCTATTCTAAGCTGGCTATTTCTATTTATTTGGGAAACCACCCCTGAATATCTGCACTTTAAAATTTTCACAAATTCGAACAGCTAGAGCGGAAGTAGAAATTATTCAAAGTTTACTTTACGTAAGAGTTAGTTACCTCCCACGTCGGCATTACGCTATATACAGCTAGCTCGGTTGAAAAATTTGAGAGTGAACTTCGTCGAGGCTCAACGAGTCTGTGACCTAATTACACCACGGCAGGGATTGGATGATARCCTCATGAATAATTAGTGAGTTTGCTCATTCGAACTTCAGTAAAGAACAGGGTAGAAGTGAGGTGTACAGTTTTTTCAATGATCCCGATCAAAGGGCTAAAAGTTTGGTCTTTAATCAGCTCAAAAGAACAGTGATTTTGATTCCTGATCCTTGTCTGCAATCCGTGATAATAATTTTTATGATCCTGATTTCCAAGAGATCCGACCCAATTCCAAAGCAAAACACTCTTATGTATCCCCGAGCTTCAAAATGAAGAGACTGTGATTCCAAAGTTAAAGCTTATATCCCTATCACATGCAATGATATAATCGAACAAAGATTAAAATCCTTGTTAACAGAGGACTGTTATTCATTTATCAGGTCCCACCTTCAATTTATCATCAGCATGAGTTACATACACAAGCCCCACACTAGACCACTCGAACACCGGACACCATTCCAGCTCGTCGACGCTCACGCCAACGCCCATCCTAAAAAGGAAGCCATCGTTTTCCGCGACGAAACTAAGAAGAGAACATCGTTAACATTCCAAGAGTATGAATCTAAGTCCAGACTTCTCGCTGCTGCATTAATTGAGATAGGCCTGGTACGTGGTGATAGAGTGCTGGTGATGCTGCCATCATGTTTTGAGTTTGTAATAGTGCACATGSCATTAAACAGAATTGGCGCCAATATTGTACTAGGTGAAGACGACGCTCATCCTGCTCTTCTTGGTGTTGTAGACCTGGCCTGTGTGATTGCTCGCTGTGAGATTGAACGTCCGTCTGCTAACCATGATCAAATTTTAACAAACATCAAAATTGCTTTACAAAGGTTAAAAGCAGTTGTTATTGTGAGTTCAAACGCTGGTCCACTAAGTGACTTCAAGAAGGTGTACATCTACAAAGAGCTTATTCAAATGGCCAAGGAAATTGATAATTGGATTGAAACAGTCAGACRAGCAGAAACATCCGTCCAGATGGACGACCCATCAGTTGTGTTATTCACTTCGGGTTCTACATCCATTCCTAAGCCCATTCAGTACACGAACCATGGTTTTGTGAATGGAGTGCTTGCAGACGCTTCGCTGATGCTGATGGATGAAAACTCCATCTATTTCTCTGATGCGCCTTTTGACTGGGTTTCAGGTTTGTGTTTTAGTATTGGAGTGGTCATAACGATGGGATCAACCCTCGTAGTATTTCCTCGTAAACTGACCTTTGAAGGGGTACTTGCACCAACTGTTATGAAGACGATTGAAGAGGAGGAATGTACACATGCGATGATCTTGGCCTACCTCTTCCATGATATCACCATGTGCAGAGAGATTCTGGATATGAACTTGAGTCAGCTGAAAGTTGCTATTACAGGAGGACAAGCCGCTACTTTCTCTTTGATGAAGAAAGTTTTCGACAAGATCCCTCATATCACCATAAATAACATCTATGGAGCTACAGAGATGAATCTGATCGCTCATCAGCTACTAACAAGGGAGAATATAGATTCAATGGACCTCGGACTGATGGAAATTGTTGACGGCTGTGAAGTGAAGATCGTTGAGGAAAATAGAAATCTTGCACCTTTAAAGACAAAAGGTACCTGGTTGTCTTTTGGTTTATACAGCAGTTCCCGATTTTTTCATAAACCTTGCTTTGTGTCTTTGTTTCAATATGGATTTCGTATGACTCTTAAAACAATTGTTTTGGTTGGGTTTATATAAGTTCATTTTTACTTGTACAATGTATGTTTTCCATTTTGTTAATGTTTATATTTCTTGCAACCATAAACGTGATGTATTTTCTACAGGTGAGCTTTGTGTGCGCGCATCATGGGTGTCGTTTCCCAATTGGGATTTGTTTTCATCTTCAGAAAAACCTAACAACAAAACCGATGTTGGAAAGAACGGTTGGCATTTCTCAAAAGATTGCGCCTCGTTAGATGAGAAAGGAAAGCTAAGAYTTCAAGGTAGAATGGATGATATTATCAAATGTGCGACTGAACAGATTCCACCTTACGARATTGAAAGCCGTCTTCTTAATCACCCTTCTGTCAACAAAGTTTGTGTTGTCGGTATCCCTGATGAGCGGTTATACGAAAATATATGCGCATGCGTGATCTTGAAAGATGGYGACAAAAACGACCATCATACTATCAAGAACGAGCTCGACAAATATTGCGTTGAAAATTGTTGGCTTTCCAGCTCRGGGTTGTCATGGAAACCACATTATTATGTATTTATGAAAGATTTCCCAATGACAAGGACTGGCAAGTTGAGTMGAAAGCTCCTTAAAGAAATTGCCATCAAGGAACTTATATGATAATGAAAAATAAGTTTTGATTAAAAGAGATTTTAGTGCTATTTGCACTAAAATTATAATTAGGGAGTGGTTGCCCTAATTTTGGACTTCCTGCGGAGGGCTATACTTTCCGTTAGCGCGCCGGCTACGTCATGTCTCSCATAAACAAGAGATTAAGCTAGCATCCGTACATGATCAGGAGTGAATCTTTATTTGTGACAGAACCACATCACAGATCTTTACTAAAAGAAGCTTATTGAGTTCAAATAAACGGCCAGTAACACTTGATTTGGTTGATTAAACGAAGGCAGTACATTTGTTTCCCGCTCAAATATTTTAATATTATTCTGATATTATTATTCAGACTAGCCTCCTCCACAGTCATCACTAAGAGTCGCGGTCTGTTTTTGCTTTTTTGTTTGTTGTTGTTGTTTTTGTTGTTTTTGTTTTTTATATGACCGTTACAAAGAAAGCCAGAAAAGAGTTGCCTGGGGAGGACGCTAYAATGTAGTGCAAGACCTGTCAGTCTATTTTACCAGCTAGCCATTGCTGTTRTTACCTATACACTAAGACCGTCTTTATTAAGCCGTTTTTTTCTTCTTTCCATATCTTCTTTTCCTTAAAGAGTACATGTATGACATCAAGTACAATCCCCCTATAAAATGAACATAAGGMTTTTAAAACAACATCCATACAGTAAAGATATCAAAAACACAATGTGAAGCGACGCCATTTGTCATAAAAATCCCCCTAAAAAATGTCTTCTGCGCAGAATCTTAGAGAAATTGCCCTTAAGCAAAAAGCCGACATAAGAATTTCTCCTCATGCAGTAACTACACACAAAGGAATCAAGGCAATGCGCCGTACATAAAGTCTATTTAAAATTGCACTACGTCAAAATCACGTCACAGTATGTTTACATTGTGGATAGATCTGATAGATGCTCAGAAAGACTCGAATTTGGACTTATTTACATTATTTCAGAAAGGAGAACTTTAGTGTATCAGTTTCGATGTACATCATTTATCAATTATAGCTAATCTACATTTTGTTTGATATGCCGTCACTCTGATCCCATCTGGCGACCATAATCCTTAGCGTTAAACAATAGAATGATTTGGTGTGACGAAATAATGTGATTGGGCAATTCGAAAATTGGCTTTTTGGCATTATTTCAGCACGATAGATAATGTGCATCGACGCCATTTTGAAATTATTTTCAAAACCGATCATCGAGCACTTCGATATTATAAGTAGTTACAGACATGTACGTTGATCAATACTCACCATAGATCATTAAAACAAGGTGAAATTTGAGATATAATGAAAAACTGAAGCTAAAGTTAAAAGCATTTGGTAAGAAGAATGAGAACCTCTGGGACTTCTCCATTAGTGGTATAGCTTTCCATACAAGTGTTGCTGAGGAGAATAAAGTGAATATAATTATGGTCTGAAGTGCAGTTCATTCACTCAGTTGAYTGATTCAAGCACTSAAATAACCACTCGCCAACATCGTTGTCTTCATAGTTCAGTTGATAAAGCATTGYACCGACATCGTAGAGATTATGAKATCGACTTCCATTGAAGCCAATCACACAGATTGTTCATATTTCACTACGCCAATCATAATTCAATTATATCAAGAATGAATTATGGTAAAATCAGATATTAGACCTCTATGCTTGGTTACTCTTTCGCAACTGGTGCTTTTACTTGTTTTGCTTTTCGCGATGCAACTATGGTTTAACATGAATATCGCATAAGTCAATTGACCATATGAAAAACGAGCCGAAGACTGGGAATGAGCACATTTAAACAGTCCATATTTTTAAACATCTGTTTTCAGTGTAAAAAAGGAGTATATCGCAACTAGTAAATTGGCAGAGTTTTAGTTTCAAATGTTGAATATCAGCAGAGTTACGAGCATTTTAAATGTAACAAAAACGTGAAAACGAGGCTGGTCAGGCCTCCATACTGATTTTCACTCAAACCTTTGCTATTTCAAAAACCTGTAATTTCTGGTCCTTAAATGTTAGAGCATTAAAACTATCAGATCTTATTCATTTTAATGTAATCTTTCAAAGGGTATGATACAATAAAAATCTTGTAAACTAAGGTGTTACGATAGCCCCGCCCTTTTTCATATGGTCTATAACCAATACTCGAATTAACAGTTCCCAGGTAACCGAGCCTGTACATTAAACCAAGACAGAAGTTGAGCCTGCATTGATAGTTAACTTTTGTTCACACCAAATACAAATATCCATACTAGGTATCTATCATTGCATGCTCAACTGTTGGTGCACAGCCTCGGTTACCTTTCAAGATGGYGCTTGGAACTGATACTGATTAGAGCTTTCAAATGACCATCCCATTTAACATACCTTCAGAGACTATCCCCACAGGATAGAGTGGGATCCATGCTGAATATCTCAACCATATCAGAGGCTCAATAGGGACATTAAGTGTTTGAGCTATATAGAATGGGTACCTTTAGACAATACAAACATATAGATAGTTATAAATGACGGCGCTATACACCTAATTTAAAAACGTTGTCAGGTATTGATTTAATCATAGTTAACTCTATTAACTATGATTTAATCAAAAGTTAAGGCCGAAAGGGCTCTTAGGTACACGCAATTTTGAATTATATTTGCGTAAACATATTACATTGTATACCATTACTCGTAGAGAAGGTCATTTTATTCAGTGCAGACAGTTTTTTCACACTGAAACACTGTCTGTTATACTCGTAGTAATTCCCAAGCTCAATAGTTGAGATTTGCGATCTCTTTTACTTTGTGTTAGCCTAAATTGTGTGCAAAATATTCAGAAATTTAGATAAAATTCGTGAAATTTCAAACTATTTCCATTGTCTTCTATACTCACGGATCTCTTGCATCTTGCATTTGAATAAAAGAATTTACTATTGAGGCTAACAAAGCGTTAAAGAGATCGCTAAAAGGGTTTATTTCCGTCTAAGCTTTGATTTTGCCTTTTTTGCAACCGGTTTTTTTTAATTAGGTGTGAACATCTATAGACAGAAAGACACTTATTTAGCTCATAAAATCAGGTAGGGACCGCTAAAAAAGTGGAGGGGGGCCGGATGTTTTTCACTCTTTCATCACTTATATATTATTTAATGTACATTTTTTTGCTTGCATAATTTTTTTTACATTTTATAGCCGTTTTTCATTTGTGTTGATGATCTAAATTACCATCTATCGCCCYCCACCCCTACACAGTTACAATAAAACAATTGCAATCACCTTATAACTTCAATCAGAGACCAYGCCAAAAACAACACAAATACAACAGGCTCCCTATGAAGTTCTTCATTGGGGACAAGCACTAAAAATAGCAAAAGATTTCTCCCAGCAACCTGAAAATACATCACGACACACRGAAGAATTAAAATTTGCTTAAAATAGAATAAAAACATTGGACTGATTGCCTTTTGTTAATAAGATTATGAAACATTTTATGAAAAGAAAAATCATTTTTTTAAACATCCAAACTTGTATTTCCATAGGGTATGAATATGAGGACCGCATGGCACCCTCATCATTGTCCGTGAAAAGTATCAAAAACGAAATTTAAGGACTTTTCAAGGACCCAAATTGTATTTTCAAGGAACAACATAATAATGCTAATTGTACATTCTTACCTCAAAACTTCAGCCGAGATCTGGAAAGCGAAGACCCCTTGTGATTTCTCAATAAAATATCATTTAAAGATCTGACACACATTAGGAAGAAACGATTGGTAGAAGTATAAAGATGTTTGTTTGACACTGTTTTCCCGAGAATTGACGGGGGTCTTCGTTTTTCAGGGTCTTCGGTCTTCGTTTTCTAGGTCTTCGTTTTCTAGGGAACCAATAATTCAGAGATCGCTAGCGCATCGTGATAGATATCTATCTTTTTCAAGGAGTTTTCAAGTACTTTTTCGAAATTTTTAAATTTTCAAGGAGTTTCAAGTGCCCTGGAAAACGAGTTTTCAATTCAAGCACTTCAAGGATTTTTAAAAGGACCTGCACGGACCCTGTTTGATAGAAACGATATAGAAATGAAAGAAAATTATAGTGCTCTAAAAAGGAGGCAATTCCGGGAGAAAGACCCTTAGGAATAAATTCGTAAAAATTAATTTCCGACCTCACCGGGATTCGAACCCACGACCTTTGGATTTGTACGACCGATGCTCTACCAGCTGAGCTACAAGGCCAGACTGGGAGCAGGTCGAGGTGAAATAGATGTTGGGTTGCAGTAATAGAATAATGTAAAGAATATATGAATATGAGGACTGCATGGCACTATGATAGACACGATATAGAAATGAAAGAAAGTTGTAGCACTATAACTTTCTTTCATTTCTATATCGTTTCTGTAGGGCCGTCTTTCAATGTATTGACCCCCCTCTTGGGAGAATGTATTCTCTTATCACGTGGTATTCGGTCTCTTTCTAATCGCTCGAACAAGATGGTGAGTGGAATTTGTCTGTCCTCCCTAAAATCCATCGAAATAAAGCTCTTCCCTTCATCATCCCTTAAAAAATACTATCGAAACTATATGAGAAATAAATTTTGTATTGCAAGAAAACAAAATTTTTCTTTTTAGATCGCTTTTATCACTATAAGAATTCGATAAAAATTTTCACATGTACAAAACTTAAAATTAATATTGCGAAAAGATTTGAAATCTCTTTCTTGCTCGCCCAGTATAGGAAATAAAGGACTCATTCGTTTCTGTAGGGTTTTTTTTCAGGGAGTGGGGGAAGGAAGGGTCTATAATTTTGTGGTGGCAGGTGATGAAATGATGCATCTGCTTTATTAGGCTAATAACCCACTCCTACCTGCATACATGGAGTTAAAACACTAGTTCTAACCAAGCCACTAGCTGGGTGGATAATCTCCATTATAGCAGCTAACTGACATGTTGCTAAGACGTCACTAAYTGCATCATAGGTGCCTGGGATTGATTCTGAAAAAAGAATGAACTCTAATTAAAAAGAGTTGCTTTTTTTCACAAAGAAGCACTTAGCACCAGAAAATTATTTCCGAGTCCACCTAGTTGTACTATATATTAATTACATACATGTAGTTCTTGTATTATAGCAATTATTGATTTGATTTGAACGAAGGATCAAAGACAGTGTTGRACTGATTGCAAAACCACTGTGAGATCTTGCTATTAGCCAATCTAGTAGARTTGCATCACTCTTTAACTATTTTACAACCACAAACTACAACAATACAAAATTATTACAAGCATGAACAAAATGAAATTATCAAACATAAACAAAGAAAATGATCAACATGCAGCAAAGAAAAAACTTATTTGCYATTTATTATAATAATAACAAATATATAAGCTTATAAAGCCAGGGATTCTGACATTATGCGCTAATTGCTGGAGGCTATAGGCCGAGCCACAGGAAACCCATCACTAAATGAATTTCGTAAAAACAAAATGGCATCACATGTATCAATGTCATTGTTTTGTTAAAAAATGATATTTTTAGTACTTTGTATGATGGTAGAAAAAAAAAATACTCAAGCCAGGGACAAAGATAAATAACATAATTATATTGATTTTTTGACAAATCATGAGGGATTATGCAGAGGATGGTCGATTATGTGGGTCCACATCAGYGCATAATTCCAGAATCCCTGTAWAGCACTTACATGTATAATAGCTTTCTCTAGGTGCTTTCAATGGTATTATTCATTATCAAAAAATATATAATAATTAAGTCAGTATTTACAGTGCATATATTACCTAAACCATGGAGAGCTAATCTTGACAACATTTTGAATACAATATAACCAAACAATAGGCCTTGCATTGAGTTGAATATCACAAGATAAAATGTTTTTAGGAATCTTAGCACTGAAACAAAAACAAAATTAGAGTTCAGCTCAGACTCAGTTAGACATCATCCTTGTGCCCAGATCCTTCTCAGTTTCGCATGGACTCTGGTTGGAAATGAATGATTCTTTGATTTGATTGGTTTAAAAATTCCCATGCATCATTATATCACTCAAACCAGATTCTGGGTCCTCTGGTATCATCTCCAACCAGAACCTTCAATTTTCTGTTGGGAAACGGAGAATGAGGATCTGGGTATGAAAATGAAAGTTCATCTATAGGCCTGGGATAAACAACAACAATCTACTGTCAGAAGTTCCTGATTTTAGAAAATAACTCATCATCACAACTACATATAAAATCATTGTATGCAGTTTTTAATGAACTGCAGAGGGAAATCTTTAATTAGTTATAAATATTAATAAATAGTTGTTAAGATTAGTAATAATTACCATCTTGCTTTGCTTTATCGATATGTGCATCATAATCTCTTTTRAATCTTTGCTCAAACAATATTTTCTGCAATTAATTGAAGAAGTCAGACCATTTGAAATTAGCACACTGTACCATTATTCCTACAGATACGCTCACTTCCCATCAACTTCATGTTTTTTGAGCAGGTTTGCATTATGATGCATGATATTTTCAACAGTCAAGCTTCGGACAATTTGAACTGCTTATTCAGATCATTGGAAGATGTCCATCGATACATGACACGATCAACATCAAATAAATGTATTTACGTTGATGGCGTCAGGACTGAATCTTGTAGGCGTTCTTTTCGTTTTATGGGCTCTAAAATCTGGAATAGTCTCCCTGTTTTTATTAAAAGTCTGAATAAGTTCAAATTCAAGACATTGATTAAGAGCATCTCTCTCGAGATTTCAGAAAAAGCAGACATTTTTTTAGATATCGATCAGATTATTAACGAGCTAAAGGCTTCATACTGAGGAACACCTTTGTCATCATTTTATATTTATCCTAATATTTATTGAATAATTTAGTAATATACGTACTCTTCCTCTTATCGCTTTTTTTCCCCTCTCTCTGTAAAACTGTGAATTTTTGATATTTCTACACTAGTTTTCTCCTTCATTATCATTACTATTTTTCCCTGAAAATGCTATGATAAATAAACTATTAACCTCTCTTGCTCAAGACATACGTGAAGTTATGGGACCTCATTTTTTCCACTTTTTTTAAGGCCCTCGTGCTACACGCTTGGGCCATAAAACAGCAGAAAAAAACTTGGTCCATAACTTCCTGTGTACATAACAGCCCTTGTGCTCGGTTAATAAGATATTTAGTACTCATAGTACAGGTATGTAGGGCGTACCTTAATCTGTGGGTCCTCTTCTTCTTCTTGATTTTTGTCTTCTTCTTCTGTGTCATCTTCATTTTTCCATTTATCAAAGTCGATTTTAAGCCAGTGTGGTCTCCTCTCTTTATCAACCAAACGTTGCCAGAAAAACTCTATCAAAAAACACAGTTGACTACATAATTAGATATATTCATATTATTGTATGTCCAAATTATGATATTAATTTTATCATATTTAATGATATGTCTCTGTTGTAAAAACTGATACAAATAATAAGAATTCTATGAGACTATTGGGTTTCTTTACACAGTTAAAAATAGATGGTTTACCTCTTCCTTTGCACTTTCTTATACTGAAGTCTACATATCTTTCCAGAAGTGAATGGCTGCTTTCCTATGAGAAAGCAAAACACAATTACTAGATCAGAACATTGTTTATTAAGTAAAATAATATAATTGAATATTGCTTAGATACATTGTTCTCCGTTTTGAGGAGGTTTTGTCCCTAGAGTCAATCAGCAGGTTATGCTCTATCCAGCTTAATAATAATTACATCTTTTAGGATATCTCCCCCAGATTTTTCTTCACAACTTTTTTTGTTAGCTATAAATGTAACACCYAACCCTAAGAAACCCCACTCAATCCCTGATAGAGAGAGAAAAGGCACATTATTTTGTGTTTTGGACCAGAATAACCCAGGAGAGATATTCTAAAWGTTATACTCATACTCAAGATAAATGGAACGAAACCTGCTGTCTGATCTAGCATCCATAAATCTACATGTAGCATAGAAACTGGAAAGATTAGATTAGAAGAGAGACTTCATAAGATTATTTTACCTGTGGATCAATAGGCTCCAGGAAGTTGACTTGCAAKTGGTATTGATTCTCTCCTCTGGCTCCATGACCATAAGCTTATAATAATGAGAAAGGAAAAAAAAATGAATAAATAAAAAAAATGACTCTTGAACATCATATGCTTTTATTTTACAAAAACTAGCACAAAACCATTGCAGCCTGATTCTTAYAATTGATTGATTAATACACTGAAATTAAATTATTTCCTCTGAATCAGGAATCAAAATCTATAGACCTCCATAAAAGGGAGCGTACTTATCAAAACAATGTTTACATCAAAAAATAAATAAATATATTTAATAAATAAGCTTTAATTTTCATTTCATAGCACATATATTTTGTCCATTCTAAATTCAGATACTAAATCAATTCATCTAAAACATGATTTTGTTGTTAAGTGATCATTTTTCGCTGTGATAATAGCCCGAATTTAAGCAAAYCCAATATTTTTGCAAACCTTTGAAGATCAGGCGGTCTTCTGTCAAATCGATGGACGGGTACTGTTAAGAAAAAAAATAAAAATCACAAAAACATACGACATAGATGGACCGCCAGTTAATTAGGGACATAACTGAGCAATACCTGGACATCAGAGAGTTCTACAGTTAGAAATAACCGCTCTTTAGTTTGTGCCCAACGAACAATCGGTGTCAAGGGAGCCGCCATATTGAAAATGTACCAGGATGCTTTGCGAGCTAAAAACAGCTGTTCGTTCACACAGGTAACCCAGGTATATGAAATGCTGCATGCTGACTCTTTCGCAGTTTCGCAGTTAGTTCCTGCTCGGCTTATGGAAGATTATCAGAAAGTGCATATTTCTTTTTTTCTTTTTTGTTTGTTTGTTCTTTTACCTACTATTGACGTGTCCTTGAGAAACTGGCGTAACATTCGATTCTTAAAAGTCGATTTTCCGAGATGTTTGTCATGTACGTTGTAGAGACTAGAGTATCGTAAAGAAGGCAGTGTACGTGCTTGGCAATATTGACATGTTCGAGGATGTTCGAGCTTTCTCTTGTGAACTCTTAGTTGGAATTAACTCGTCAGTTCGCATGTGCACTGGAAGCAGGGGCGCCTACCTGTCGACCCCACATTGTAGGAGGAGCTGGGAGAAATATATCTGTTCTTATGTCCCAGCCAGCTGTAAGCCACAACTGGTTGCCAGAGAGAAATTCAGGGRAAAAGAATTTTCCAGGCAAGGAATACTTTCTATGAATTTTTSCTTGGAAAATAAAAATTTCCTAACTAAAAAAATAAAAGCAGTTTTTGACCATAAAAACGCCTTAATAAGCCTTTTTAGAACTTAAACTTTTGCCAGGAACAAAATTATTTTAAAGAAGAAAGGCGACACTTTTGCTTGTGAGATTGTCAACAATGTAGCTCAAAATCCCTTTCCCAGAAAAAAATTCGTACAAGAACAGTTATTTAGAAGAACAGACCTCATCGACTCCTCCCGACATTGACCCGACATCGATCTTACCTAACCCAAGCTATCGGCCTCACCAYCTTTTCAACCATGCATCCACTCCCACGAATCATGCAATTTGTTAATAATTAGTCGAATTTTAGAATTTTCTAATCACTCTGGATCTCTTATTGGTTCTCGCGCCCTAAACTCTGTCTCTCTTCGAGCTCAAAGATCAATTCAAACCATAATCCATATATATTATGTGGAACATGCCGTTTATTCAGTGATTAGTGCTGAAATTTAAAACGGCTCGTTTTAACTATTAACATAGGAGTGGGGATTAACACAAATGTTTGGTAGCTATTAACACCATTAACATAAGACTGGTGTATGGTACAGGCATATTTTTCTTCTTCTTCTTCTTCTTCTTCTTCTTCTTCTTCTTCTTCTTCTTCTTCTTCTTCTTCTTCTTCTTCTTCTTCTTCTTCTTCTTCTTCTTCTTCTTCTTCTTCTTCTTCTTCTTCTTCTTCTTCTTCTTCG